CCAGAAACTGTCAAGTTTCTCCCATAGTTAAATCAGGTAATTACATGGTAAATAAGAGGTGGTTAAAAAAGTTATAAAGTTATTTAGGAGGAAAAGTTGTAATTAAGTTAACCAAAAGTCAAGAAAACCATGCTGATTTAAAAAATTTCTCCAAGCGGTTTATAACCTAGGCTTACAGTAATAAGACAGTTTATTAATCACAAATCATTTTCACATGTATTGACTCTCCACCGAATTGTTAAGGAGGACGCTGACACCTGGAGGTTTTCAGAGGCGTGCAAGAACACATAGGTCACAAATGGTTCAGTTGAAAATCAAACCCTGTGCTTCCCACCACATCCTGTTGTCACATGTCTCCCAAGCAGTTTCCCTGCTATAGAATTCTCACATTACACAAATACAGGCTTATGACTTGACTTATACATTTCTTTAATAATCTATGTTTCGTTATATCATTAAACATCTAACACAAGATGAAAAATAAAGCTAATACTGATTGACCTTCATGTTGCTTTTCAAATTAAAGAATTAGTGATTGTTAGGTATAGCTCTAGTTACCATATTGGTTAAAAATCATCTGTCCTTCCCAAAATAATAAAGAGCCAAACCTACTAAAGTCTAATAACACCAGCCTCGCCCCTCATAAGGAGAAGGTAAAGGAAAATGCATACACTTTAGTAGAAGAAACCTCCCATTAAAAAGTCAGAAATAAAACACACGAAATATAGAATGAAATTACCTCGATATTTCCCTGAGGTAAACTGTCTGCATGGCTTTCTTCAAATGAGGCTCAATATTTCTCCACAGTTTGCGAGTATCACGTTCATTTGCTACTCCAAAAGGGAGGGGAAAAATCAGTAATTTAGATCTAATAAAGTGTTTCCTCAAAAGAAACATTAATAAGTAAAATTACATAGTTACCTTCTCCTTTAACCACAGGTTCACAATATTTAGGAAAATTAAGTACTGCCTGTAAAAAAAAAACCAAAAAAACTGATCTGTCACAATCTGAAATTTGTTTTCAAGTAAAAATTTTATCACAATTCAAACAATTTCATTTTAATACAATTGTTAAAATAAAATGTTACTATGGCTTATTGTAAGACAAAAATAAAAATATACCACTACTAAAAGTTATGATGTAACATGTAAAGTATTTCTAAGTTGGTTAAAGCCTGTGTAATATATAAGAAGTCGTCAAAAAGTTTTTGGAAAAAAAATTCCATTATCTTTTCATCCCATTTTTCCACAAACTTTTTGAAGACCTCTCCTATGAACTTCTGGACATAAAGAAATAAGATACTCATAAAACATAATATATACTTTTAGGTAATATGTCACAAAGGACTATAATACATTCCACAAAAGGTCCTCAAGTCTAAAAAATTAACCTTTTAATTTTCCAAGGGTCTGAACATTCTCACAAATTAAACAAGATCTACTTTAGTACACTCCGAGTATTTGAATTGGCAGCAGAAGCTGAGATTGTTAGAAACCCAAGTTCTCAGCATTATACAGACTGAATCAGAAATCTCTGGGGACAAAGAATCTGTTTTTAACAAGCTCTCTGGACATTCCATGGAGTCTGAAGTTTGAAAAACACCAAATAAGTAATCACAAGTACTTAGTAGTTGTCTATACATCAAAACTGAAGTTCCACTGAAAGGTAACTTAAACATATTGGCAAAGATGTACCATTACCATTTGTTAATACTAATCTGGTCCCCAAAGTTTCACAATGAAATGACTCAATAATGAGACCTAGAAGAAAGATGTACCTACACGTAGTGCAATCACAAATTAAAATAATAAGACCCAACCACACCAAACTCACTGCCAT